ACCTCTTTTCGCGTACGCGCACGCGCCTGAAGGGTGACAAGCCGAGCCGTCACCGCTTTCTTTCCCGTAAGCTTTCCCTTTTGCTTGCCACGCCGAGAGACACCCGCCAACACTCAACTCGAGAAGCACGACACCCGACGGTATAGAAACACGCCGAGCAGAACGCCTGCGATTTAAATCACCGGCAGATGTTCTCTGCTGTCTAAGCTTTTCCAACTGCTAATCCCTTTTGGATATCTGTTCGCACCCAGCCTGATTTGTCTCAAAAGTACCCCTCTCCTCAGTGGACGGGAAATCGACTCTACGTCAGAGCATACCAGAACCCCTCCCTCGCCTTTTTTTCAAAAGGGAGATTCCTCAAAAGGAGCGCTCATCGCCCGAACGTCCGAACTCGAGGAAGAATAGCTCTTCGTCTATTAGGCGCATCCCCAAAAAACGACGGACGACAAGGAAACGCCGCGACTCACGTCCGGCGAACGTGCGACGAAACGTGCAACGGAGCCGAAGGGGCACCTGAAGCGAGAAAAAATAACCGACGAGAAAGGAGCGCATGGCAATGTCGTAGGAGTGGGCCTCGTTGCGCCAAGGGAGCTGGAAAAAAGCAAACACAACCTGAGAACATCAGTGGACGACTGTACGGTTTGCGGAAGAATACCCATCTCCAAGACGTGCGGAAGCTAGTGGACTCGGCGCATGCTGCATCGTGTGTGACAAGGAACAATCCCTAGAGAGTGAAGAAGAGAAAGGGAGTATGGACACCCCCGAGGATGCGACGCCCACGTCCGGCGCTGTTACACCCCTGACAATGCCTTCGACGCCGGCCAAGCCTGGCTTTATACCCTTGGTCACGGTTGTCGACTTTCACCATGCCCGTGGACCTGAAGTCGAACTGTGGTTCGGCGCGGCGGAGGGCGTCGACCCGGCGGTTGAGTATGACTGGGGTTTGTTGCCGTTCATGGCGCTGAGCGACGGCGCGCATTTGTGAGTGGCACCCTTTCCTTCGCCAGCAGGGCTTTGCTCGATTTATAGCCGCAATGGTCGCCACCATGTGGAGGACGAAAGGCTGACAGACGGGAAACAGGTCAAGCGAGGACTTTTCCTACTTCACCCTCCTCCGCCCCGCAACCGCCACGGGGCCGGCGACGTCCCTCTTCGGCATCTCTTGCACGCGGCAGCTCGACGCCTCAAAGCTCCTCAATCGCCCCGCCGAGGTGACGCGCTCGACGGTCCAGAAGGCCGTTGTCGTCATTGCCGACACGCCGCAGCACTTTGGCATGATGCGTGAGCGTCTCAGCGTCGTCACCCAGGCGTGGTTCGCCCAGCGCGAGTTTACCGACACGGAGATACTGCGCCGCTTCCAGGAGAGCCTCGCCGAGGAGAAGGAGCGCGGCTTCCTGACGGACGAGGAGAGCCGTGATCAGCACCTCGGAATGAGCTTGCGAGAGTTTGTCCACGAGTTCAAGTGGCAGACCCTAGTTCTGTTCAAGTGCTGTCTGCTGCAGCCAAAGGTCTGTTGAGCCTCTTAAAGCCAAAACAATATGCCACTTTCGGTGCGATGAGAAGCTGACCAGACACCCTTCGCAGATGCTCTTCTTTGGATCACGTTGCGAACGGCTATGCATGATGCAGTTTTCCCTAATCTCTCTGATACCCGGCCTAATCCGTAATCTCATCGACTGCGCCGACCCGGAGCTGAACAACTACGAGAAGAGGCTGGTGCGGCCCACAAGCCTGCGGACCAGCGATCGCAACTCCCTGCTCACTTACATGGGCCTACCTCTCCAGATATTTGGCAAGGTACGTCCGCCGCGGCCCGCTCGAAGAGTTCGAGGCACTGACAAGGCGTACAGGGCAGTCTGTTCGGGCCATATACCCCCCTCCAGCAGCTCGACATCCTCGCCGACTTTGGCACCAAGTCTTACATCGTCGGCAGCACAAATTCACTTCTCCTGCAACAAAAAGACCGCTACAGCGACATTTTAATCAACCTCGACGACCATACGGTCAACGTCACCTCGTCCTCCCTTAGGAATTCGCTGGCCCTCTCGGCCGCCGACCGTCGCTGGATCGACTACATCACACAAGTTGTCAATGATACGTGGGACGACGCTAACCCGCAACGGCCCAACACCATGGGCTATGTCGGCAGTGAAGAGTTCATCCGCCTCCAGTTCGAGGAGTACATACTCTCCCTCGTATCCTCCGTCAAGTATCACAGCCACCTTCTGGCGAACCCGAATAACCCCCGCGCCCTCCTCCCGCACATCGAGGGCGACCCATCCTACGACTACGGCAGCGATTTCATCGAATCGTGGTCCCGCACAGAGAACTATCGCATATGGAACGGGAACACGGACTCGCACCTCTTCGACGTCGTCGAGCCGCGGCACCCTTGCGCCGGCGGCCTCACCATCGACGACGTCCAACGCCGTATCGCGCAGCAGGTCCAAGATATGCACCTTGACGAACGCCTTGCAGTTGGTAAGGAGGTCCTCGGGCGGAACTTTGCTGTTGGCAAAGAAAAGGCGTCGAACATGTTCAACAAGTTTTATGCCGACATGGAGGCCTTCCGCGAGGCGCAGAAGAAGAGGGCCGAGGAACAGCGCATCGCGGCAGAGGCAGCTGCCGCCGAAGCAGAGAAGGCCGGCGGGCCCGCTGTCGCATCTGCGGCATCATCGGGTGGAGCCACGGATGCGGCAAAGACGCAGGGCAATGCGTCGGCCTCCGGGAACAAGGCCTCCTCGTACGTTAGCTCGTGGGTGACGTGGGCGGGCGAGAAGCGCAAGGCCGGATGGGGCGGTGCTAGTGGCAGCAGTTCCCCAACCACGGCCAGCAGCGGCGGAGGATACGGCTGGGGGCGTGGATGGGGCAAATCCAAGACGGACGCTAACAAGGCTGGCAACAGCGACAAGGACTCGGCCTCGATATCCGGGTCGCGGGTGTCCACGTCCTCAGCGGGTATGGACATCAACCAGAAGCGGTCGAGCGACAGGCATGATTTCCAGCCGCTGACACAGGGCTCGTACACGGAGTCGGTATTCTCAGCGGGCACCGTAGAGTCGGAGATGTCCACGAGCCCCACGGCGGACCGTCGGCCGCAATCCAAGGAGGGTCTTTCCGCCGCGGCGGATACGGCAGAAGTGACGACGCCGACAACGGCCACGGCCGCCGCCGAAAGCGACGGCAGATTGAACGGAGGGGTGAACACGATCACTAAGCCGGTGGCCCCTGATGCGGACAGAGAGGAGGAAGGAACGACTGCTCCGGTCGCCGCCGTTACGACCACCAAGGCGCAGCAGCCAGAACATGAGAGTGACGACGAAGACGACGACGACGCTGATACGAAGGAATCGAGAGCCATGGCCGCTGCTGCCGAGGCGGCGGCCGAAGCGGCCAAGGCCTGGGGCAGTGATCGCTGAAGAGCGCGAGATACTCGATAAACCCACTAGGCGTGGCCATGTAACACTTTGGCGGAGACCGAAACATAAACAATACGGCAGTACAAGGCACGACATGACGCAAAACAGCATAGCAGAGCATTCGCGAGTCCGGGGTCTGGGTTATGAACTGCATCTTAGAGGAAAAGGGGGGAGGAGAGCTGGGATGGTCGCCAAGGCCGCCGCCGCCGACGACAAGATCACGTCGCATGTGCTGGATCGAGTCCTCTCTTTCACCCCCCCCCCCCCCCTCCTCTGCATTTTACCTTCTTACTTGTAGCTTTAGTCATATATATATACAAGCACGCCACGAGGAGAGAGAAACGACACGAGAGGACAAGTCCGTTCATGGGCGTTGGGGGTGGTTTGGGTTTGGGAGGTTTCCTGGATCCGGTGCTGATGCAATTGGATTTTTTTTTTTGGTTTTTGTTCGAGATGGAATACGGCAGAATCAGACCAGGCGAGAACAGAAACATGGTCAAATTTGAAACCGACGAGTGCCCCCTCTATGATTCCCTCTAGAATGAGTGAACTGCGGCGGAATGTGAGATGGTCGAGTTGCCGCGCATGGGATGGCGAGTGCCGCCGACCTGGTCGTGCCGTGGACTCCTCGATGTCTTTTTTTTTTTTCTCTTTTCTTTTCCATCCACGTTGACAGGCGCGAGATAGCGTGTTTGAATCTGCAAAGGGGCAGTCGTCTCAATCCCCCCCTCAGCCTGTTGGATTTACATGAAGAAGGGGGGGGGGGGGGGGGGGGGAAAGGTCGTTTGTGTGCGTATTCCCAAAGCTTCTCTGGCCCCAATTTCCGCACGGGGGGCTCAACCTTTACCCCCCAAGGGTGTGACAGACCCCCGGAGGCTTGAATACCGTCCTTCATAACCGGTACTGTACGTCGGGTAATCCGATGTTTAACTTCATATTCCGTTCCTCCGGTAGGGCCCGCGCCACAAATCCGAATCTATCGGCAAACCCTGAATACTACTCGCGTATGAGAGACGACTCTTATTTTCTTGGACTGATGGTAGCCATCCGTACTTCGGGCCATGCGACCGAATGCAGACATAAATACGGTTAATGCCGTTCTTACCAACCAAGACCAGTTGTTGGCTTTGGACGATTATAGTCATGCAACTGAGAGTACGGATAGTTCAGCGCGGAATACATTACAGAAATGAGGGCCTCTATATCCTCCACCAGGAATAAGGAACGCGCTGGGGCATACCCGGCAACCTCCCTGCAATTGGCAATCATCCAGAGTAGGGGGGGGGGGGGGGGCGACGGCCAACGCCGCCCCCTTCCCCCCCTTTTTTCTTTTGTGCATATTTACAAAGGCAAAAGAAAGGCCATCTCACGCGGTCGCATCTTTGGTCTACATCGACCTTTGGATCATTTCTGTATTGCTTTCCCTCCCCCACCCTCCCGAGTTTGAGTTTCCCGAAGAATGAGAGAAAGGGAAGAGATGAAAGAAAAAAAAAAAAAGAAGAAGAGGAAAGGTTCTGACTTCCTCGAACATGAACGAGTAAATAAACAAGGACGGGCGAGGAGGCAGGGACAACCCTCCACCTAGTCCTCCCAGATGGCGGCCTTGGCCTTCTCGGCGGCCTCCAGCCGCCTCTTGTCGGCAGCCTTCTCCTCCTCCCGGCGCTTGCGCTCCTTTTCCTTGACGGCCCTGTCGTAGGCCCGTTGCTCCTCCGTCATACGGGGCACCTTGACGCCGAGGGCGCTGGCGATCATGCGCCGCGCCACGGCGTCCGTCTTCTCCGGTCTGCGGGCGCCGCTGCTGCCGCTGCTGGCCGCCGGAGAGGAAGAGGCGGAGGGGGCGGAGGGGTCGGCGGCGGCGTACGGAGAGAATGACCGGTCTGCCGCGCTGTACGTCGGGGAGATGGGGGTCGGCGGCGGGGCCTTGGAGCCGTCGGCCTGGGGCGTCGCCGTCCCCTCCCGCTCTCCTTTGTCGTCGTCGTTGCCGCCCTCCTCCTCATCGTCCACGTCCTCATCTTCCCAGGAATCCGCCACCGGCTCCTTAATCTTCTTGGCGGCGGGCTTCTTGTTGGAGCTGTCTATTGACAGCTTGGAAAGGGAGGACGGGAGGTCTGGCTTTTGGCTGGAGGAAGGCATGGTGGCTCGTGTTGAATGTTTGCTTGCTTATATGTATGTGTTTGTGTATATACCGAAAGTGAGTTTGAGAACGTAAATATGTGAGGTCCAAGAGAGAGATGACGGGGTATTGATTGAGAGAGGCCCGCAGGAAGTCGAGATAGTCAGGAACTTGGGTTGCGGTTCCGTCGGGAAGCGAGGGCAAAAAGTGTGGGTAAGGCCCCCGGAGAGCAGGGAAGGGAAGATCGCCGGGTGATACAGGGTCCCTTGGGTCGTTTCCTCGATGGAGGATCAACGGGGTGAGGCACTAGCAATGTAAAGATTGCAGTCTGTTATGAGTTGAGCCGCGGGGTATATAGAGAGACCGGGGACTTGGATGGGCGCCGTTTCGGAGCAGTCCTTGGTCTGATATGAGGCGCTCTATCTGCAGATCACGATGAGTGGGAAGAGTAGAAAAGGGGGGGAGGGAGGCAGGTCTCTCGAGCAGGTTGGATAGGATCCGGGAAAAGGCCTCGGCTTCTTTCAGCCATGCGAACGGACCGTGTTAGATGGGATGGCGGGACGGCACTGGTGTGTTGGGTCTCCCTTCCCCGCAACGAGTCAGAGAAACCGGATGGCACTGTTGCAGGCAAGACAGTTACATACGATTAGTACACGGTTGGCAGAGGTCTAGCGGACGGCCGGAGCATCGTGGCGTACTGTCCTGGCAGACATCGAACACGGTAGCCATCTGCTGACATCATGGTATGCAAGGCAAAGTGTGGTTCTCCAGAGCCACCAGTCAATGGCTGCCCCCTTTCTCAGCCCAAGGCGCTGTTACCTGCGGCAGGCCACCACTGACCACATTTGAGGTGAGTCTACGGAGTATGCATCTTGTACTGCCGATAGCAGGCCAGCCACGCACGTAGCGCAGCTGTGAGGAGGGGGGCAAGAGAGGAGGGGGTGTGCGCTTCCTCGTCCTCAGAGAACGCCGCCCCGCTGGCAACCGGGGCCGAAGTTCTTCCATGTTCCAGAGCAGCCACTGCTGTCCGCCCCCCCAGGAACCACCTACTGGCCACTGCACTGACGGCGAAATGTCAGTGCTCACTAATTTTTTTTTGGTGATGTCGTTTACTCTTCATAACCCCCCCGGACCGGTCTCCACAATAGCTCAAAGGTTACTCCGACTCACCTCTGTTCTGTATTTGTAAGGCGTCAGGAGGCGATGCGCATCGTGATCTAGGACTCGAAGTCCTTTCCCCCCCATTCTGCACGTTTCCATTGCCCGTTCTAGCTCGTCTCTTTTGTCCACATCCATTCCCACCCCATACCCAATTGCATTGAGCAGCACGTACAGCGGCACGCGCCCATTCGTCTCCGGCCCTGTATTACCCCATCATCATCACTACCACCACCACCACCACCACCACCACCACCACTACTACCTGCCGCCATCGGAGAGCTTCCTCAACCTTTGACTTGCAACCCCCATCGCCGGCAGCATGGTGATGCGATCGAGCTTCCCCAGGCGCCTGACGCTCGGCCGTCCGGCAAATTATCTTAGACGGCCCTATTCGGTTTCGAGCAGCAGGTTACCCGTCGCCAGCACCCCGAGGTCCTCTGCCTCCACCTTCGACCGCCTATTCCTCAACCCCCGGAGTCAGCGAGCAGTCGCCCCGTTCTCGACGTCAACACGATGGCTGAAGGAGGAAGACAGCAACAACTTCTTCGACCCCAAGGTCGAGCCCCTGTCCGACGAGGAACACAAGGCAAACATCAAGAACCAACGCGAGTTTGAGGAGAAGGAGCTGGCTGAGGCAAAGAGCTCGACCTCTGACTCCTCCGCCAAGGGCGACGGGTCTGGGGCTGCCTCGCAGGACGGCAAGGCTGGCAGTGCCGCCGGCGGTTCATCAGCCGGATCAGGGGGCGGTGACGACAAGGGCGACGGCAGCGGCAGACGCGGGCGCAGGGCATCTGACAAGAGCCTGCAGAAGCCCGTCGTGCCCGACGTCTACCCCCAGGTCCTGGCCATCCCCATTGCGAAGCGGCCGCTGTTCCCTGGTTTCTACAAGGCCATCACCATCAAGGACCCGAACGTCGCCGCCGCCATCACCGAGATGATCAAGAGGGGCCAGCCGTATGTCGGTGCCTTCTTGTTCAAAGACGAGAACCAGGACGAGGACGTTATCCGCAACGTCGATGACGTCTACGATACCGGTGTCTTTGCGCAGATTACGAGCGCCTTCCCCATGCACGGCGAGCAGGGCGCTCTGACGGCCATCCTGTACCCTCACCGCCGCATCCGCCTGTCGAGCCTGCTGCCTCCCGGAAAGGGGGACGCCAAGTCGAGCGAGGCCAAGGTCGAGCCGGTACCCGAGCCGATACCCCCGAAGCCCATCGAAGAGGAGGCGCAGCAGGAGAAGAAGGGCGACGTCGTCGCAAGCTTCGAGGAGAGCGCTGTGGCCCCCAAGGCTGACCAGCCGGCAGAGAAGTACGAGCCCACAGCGTTCCTCAAGAGATACCCCGTCAGCCTCGTCAACGTCGAGAATCTGACCGAGGAGCCCTACGACCCTAAGAGCGCCGTCATCCGCGCCGTCACCAACGAGATCGTCAACGTCTTCAAGGAGGTCGCCACGATGAACAGCCTCTTCCGCGACCAGATCTCAACCTTCTCCATGAGCCAGTCTACGGGCAACGTCACGTCCGAGCCGGCGAAGCTGGCAGATTTTGCCGCGGCCGTCTCTTCGGGCGAGCAGGGCGAGCTGCAAGAAGTCCTGTCGAGTCTCAACGTCGAGGAGAGGATGCAAAAGGCCCTTGTCGTCCTGAAGAAGGAGCTCATGAATGCCCAGCTCCAGTCCAAGATTACCAAGGACGTCGAGAGCAAGATCACCAAACGCCAGCGCGAATACTGGCTGATGGAGCAGATGAAGGGTATCCGCCGCGAGTTGGGTCTCGAGTCCGACGGCAAGGACAAGCTGGTCGAGAGGTTCAAGGAGAAGGCGGACAAGCTGGCCATGCCCGAGGCTGTACGCAAGGTCTTTGATGATGAGATCAATAAGCTCGCGCATCTCGAGCCCGCAGCATCCGAGTTCAACGTCACGCGGAACTACCTCGACTGGCTGACGCAGATCCCCTGGGGCCAGCGCAGCGCCGAGAACTTTGGAATCAAGAACGCCATGACGGTCCTCGACGAGGATCACTACGGGCTGAAGGACGTCAAGGACCGTATCCTCGAGTTCATCGCGGTTGGAAAGCTGCGCGGCACCGTCGAGGGCAAGATCATCTGCTTCGTCGGCCCTCCCGGTGTCGGAAAGACGTCCATCGGCAAGTCCATCGCCCGTGCCCTGAACCGCCAGTACTACCGATTCAGTGTCGGTGGTCTGACGGACGTGGCCGAGATCAAGGGTCACCGGAGAACCTACGTCGGTGCTCTGCCCGGTCGCATCATTCAGGCGCTGAAGAAGTGCCAGACGGAAAACCCGTTAATCCTCATTGACGAGATCGACAAGATCGGCCGCGGCTACCAGGGCGACCCCTCATCCGCCCTGCTCGAGCTGCTCGACCCCGAGCAGAACAGCTCGTTCCTGGACCACTACATGGACGTCCCCGTCGACCTGTCCAAGGTCCTCTTCGTCTGCACCGCCAACATGACGGACACCATCCCGAGACCCCTTCTCGACCGCATGGAGCTGATCCAGCTCTCTGGCTACGTCGCCGACGAGAAGAAGGCCATCGCCGACAAGTACCTCGCCCCGGCCGCCAAAGAGGCCGCGGGTCTGGCCAACGCCGACGTACAGCTCAGCGAGGAGGCCATCGAGGAGCTTATCAAGTCGTACGCCCGCGAATCCGGCGTGCGCAACCTCAAGAAGCAGATCGAGAAGGTCTACAGAAAGTCCGCGCTCAAGATCGTGCAAGACCTCGGCGAGGACGTTCTCCCCGAGAAGGAGGCCCTAACGGAGGACGGCAAGGAGGCTCTGGCCGAGTCGGAGAAGAAGACCGAGGCGGCACGAGAGTCGGGCGAGCAGCCCGCCGAGGCCGCGACCACCGAGAAGCCCCGGGTAGCTCTCAACGTTCCCGACACGGTCCATGTAACCATTGGAAAGGACAACCTCGTCGACTACGTCGGCCCCCCAGTCTTCACCTCGGACCGACTCTACGAGGTCAACCCTCCCGGCGTCTCCATGGGCCTGGCCTGGACCCAGATGGGCGGCGCCGCCATGTACGTCGAGTCGATCCTGCAGGCGCCCCTGCGGCCCAGCAGCCGGCCCGGCCTCGAGATCACGGGCAACCTCAAGAACGTCATGAAGGAGTCGTCGACGATTGCCTACTCGTTCGCTAAGTCGCTCATGGCCAAGGACTTCCCCGACAACCACTTCTTCGACAAGGCCAAGCTGCACCTGCACGTGCCCGACGGCGCCGTGTCCAAGGACGGCCCCTCGGCCGGCATCACCATGGCCACCTCGCTCCTCTCACTCGCCCTTGACACCCCCGTCAACCCCACTGTCGCCATGACGGGCGAGCTCACCCTTACTGGCAAGGTGCTCCGCATCGGCGGCCTGCGCGAGAAGACGGTCGCCGCCCGCCGCGCCGGCTGCAAGACGGTCATCTTCCCCAAGGACTGCATGTCCGACTGGCTCGAGCTCCCGGAGGTATGTCTACACCCACACCCCGTTCATTCACACGCCCGATGCGCGTTCACGCGAGAGTTTGCATGCTAACATTCACCGCTACTAGAACATCAAGGAGGGCATCGAGGGCAAGCCCGTCGCCTGGTACTCGGACGTCTTCGACATCATATTCCCCGAGCTCGACCGCGAGGCCGCCAACAAGTGCAAGACGTGCGAGTGGAAAAAGGCGCAGGACGACAAGAAGAAGAAGGACAAGAAGAAGAAGCGGGACGACTCTGACGATGAGGACGACGACTAGATCCCTCCATCATCCCCTCCCCCCCCCTACTCCCGTCCCACGACGACGTCACACATTTAGTGTTCTGCTCGTCCGCCGCGGCCCATGTCACGCCATCTCGGGAAGCAAGCCCCACG